GGGCTTTTCACAGACACTTTTTGATTACCTTCAGTTCCCAAATTCTCTTTAGTCACTATTTCAGAGTATCATATTTTCTAAAAAATTGTCCCACTCGATGCTGAGTGTTTCATGTAGGGAATGCTCCATGAAACGTGTGGGAATGTGGCCAGTCCAGAGTTAGACTGAAAAATCTGAGCTCCCATGTAATGATTGACCGGCCTGCGTTGGGGTCGCAGCAGGGAGTGCGCTGCCCCCGAAATGAAGAGCTACATGGAGATATTTCATGTGACTGAGTTGAGAGGTGGAAGGATTTAAACCGAGTATGTCCAGACTGTGGCAACCCAGAGCAGGTAAGGATGAAGAACCTGGTGAAGTTAGAGTGAACAAGTCAACTGGTGCACAGGCAGTAACTGCAGTGGTTCCCAGCTAAATCCTCACACCAGGTTACACATTCCTCTCATCCCAAAACAGCCAGCTCTTTTGATGCAAGAATTCTCCCTGCTGTTCTCTGTGGAGTTTCAGGAGAACTCTTTTAAAAAGATGAGTCTGTATCTGGACACATCATCTGTTCCTGTTCCCAAAGAGGGTTTGCAGCAAGCAGAAAAGCCCATTGAAAAGGATTCCAACTCATAACCTCACAGAAACCTCACCTGAGTTTTTAATTCAAGCTCTTTTTGTGAGGAACAGAAAGCTTGACGGAAAACCTGGAGGCTAACAGGTATAAAGACACTTGCCAGAGGGTCTGAAATGAAAACTTTGATGGAGAAAAGTAAAAATCTTTGAGATAAATAATTTATCCAAAGAGGCTGCTTAGGGGATTTGTGCCACCTTCTCTGTAGACAGCGGGTGGTACAAAGCATGGGGGACCATCCCATTTAGTCAAGACAGTACAGCACTGCTGCTGGCCATCCCTTTGCCCAGGGACAAATACTGAAGATTAAATAGTGCTGCTTCTGAAAGGATTAAATCTCTGTTCCGCTGAGCTGCCAGGGAGAGAGGAGAGCTGAGGACCTGTTGTGCACCGTGGTGGCCTTGGTTTGATCTGTCATTGTCCCGTATTCTCTGAGACTTTCCTGAATGCTTGTTGCAGCTATCTGTGGGGTGTAGATATTTCTGTGGAACATGAAAGGCCTGTGAAATCAGATATGGAGTAATGTTGTGGCTCCCTTTGATTTTTCTCCTTACTTGGGAGAGGTAGAAAAGGCATATTTTTAGGGGGTTTTAAGACCTTTCAGATCCAGAGGACATTGGGCATTGCACAGGAACAGGCTCTCATTAAAAGTCTCTTAAGCAGCTGGAATGTGGCTGGAAGGAGATTAAAGGAAATACATGTATTTAGCAAAGTGCTTAGACAGAAAAGTAGAGAGAAATAAAAGTTTGAGAACCTTATTGTTCTTTCAGATTGCTAACAGGTGTGCATTAATTCAAAGAGTTTACTTTTTTTTTTTCCATATGATCTGTAGATAATAAACTCTAAATCATCTAGAAACGATGTGCAGTTTGCCTAACTGCAAATATCTGCATACTTTATATTTAATCTTGTAAGAATGTTCTTTTACTGTGATCTTGATCTGATCCTATGTTAGTTTTACCCTAATAAAACACAGTTATAGTCAGAGCCTGCAAGCCTCTACTCCTATGGGTAATCTCAGCTGTGTCTGACTCTGAGAGTGGCTTCTGCTCCCAGCTGTGCCACTGGTCAACTGCCTGACCTTGGGCAACTCCTTTAATGTCTCTTCCGACGTATCTAAATTGAAAGTTATGTGAGGCACGAGTTTTGAGAGTTTTGTCTGTGTACTGATCTTATGCAATGGATCCCAATCTCTGTAGGAGCCTCCAAGCACAGCGGTATAATTTTTTCATGCTGCCATTTACATGTTTTAGGTAATGAGTGCGATAGTTCATATGAGGGAGACTTTCACAGAAAGGTATATTCCAGGTAACTTTAGCCACATGTCTTAGACTAAACCAATTTACTGCTTATTTCCTTTACTCCTCAGTGCCTGATTTCCATCTGGTTATTTTTGTCCTCCATTTCTAGAGGAAAACCAAGTTACTTTGTGTGTTGCAACTTTAGAAATTCCCAAATAAAAAAGAAAAAAACGACAGAAAATGAAGTATTAATTTAAGTTTGCCTGTGCAACCAGCTATTTGTGTAGGGTGCTGTATTACCTCTGTCAGAATTTAAACTGTTGCTGGATCCAATTTTAGAAAGTGTTTTTCCCCATGAAGCTTTTGCTTTGCGTAGTGCAAAAGTCACCTTAGACTTGGTGCGATTGTCCTGTGTGTGGCCCCAGGCTGTATTTCCTATGCACTAAGAGATTGCTCTGAAAATGTAATAAAATTCTTCAGAGGTTGTTTTTATGGTGCCCGTCATTATCCTGTTTGAGTTTTCCACAAATATTAATATCCAGCATTCTTCAGGGTCTGAGGAATGGCAATACCACTTTCTCCCAAATCTCACTGGCCACTGGCAGGTCACAGGACATCCTTCAGATAATCCCTGTCTAAGACTGTAGGAACAGCTGGGTCAGACCAAAGGTTCATGTCACTTCACAACCTGGTTTCAACACTGGGTAACAATAAACGTGAAGACAAAAGCATAAGAAGGAACAGGGTAGCAGATAGTGATGCTCTCTCAGAACACTCTCCAGCTTCTGCCAGTCTGCACCTCAAGAATTTCCTGTGTCAGAATCTTTGTGTTCAATGGTGCCTTAGGAATGTTTCTTCCAGGGTTTTGTATGAAGGCATGTATGCTGTAGCATACCTAGTGTCCTGCGTTAAGAAGGGCTGCAAGTTTAACTACAGCCTCTGCACTCCATTTAATTTATTTTTACTCTCTCAGTTAATAAGTTAATACAATTCCCCTTGGTTCTTGTATATTAGAGGTAAGAATAATCTTTCTTTACTCGATTGCAGGTCAGTTATGATTTTATAACCCTGTTCTAGCATTCCTTTTTCTTCTAGTGGAAATTGTGTAAGATTTCCAGTCTAGCTATTTGTCTTCATACACAAACTATTTTGAAAATCTGTCAGCTTCATCAGTCCAAGCAGACTGTAGCATCTGGCTTATCCTTGGTCTTTCTGTTCAACGAATCCTTCAGAGTAGGTTTATGAGGCATGACTGATTTCTACAGAAGCTGTGTTGACTCTTCTCCACTATTCTCTGGTTAACCTTGTCCACTAATTCTACTCTGTTCTTAGAGTTTCTGACAACTTGCCCAGTACAGCTTTCTCCTGTTCTGTGTAGATCATCACATCTCATAAACATTTGAAGATCTGTTTGCTTCCTTTTCTACCTTTTATACTCATGCAGTTTTAAGCAATAACTTTTGCACCACGTTTTCCTTGCGGAGTCAGCACTCTGATGTGAATACTTGGACATCCAGTGAGCTACAGAAGAGCACGCAGTCTTGACTTTACAGTTGCTACTTGAGGAAATGCATCAAAGCTCCTGAAATGGGGAAGCTCAGTAACCCTTAGTTAAATTGTATCTGCTTGAGGTCTGAATTCCTGACTTCAGCTTTCATCCTATGGGTCTTGCTTTGCCTTTTTTTTTAGTGGTTTGGTAAACCAGTAGACAAAAGCACTGTCTACTGTATCTTTTCCCCATGAGAAGGGATTAATGAATTTTAGGCCCATGTCCTAGCCCCTTGAGATGAGCATGTATAATGACAAGAACAAGATGTGAGCAGTTTCTCTGTTTTATTCCCAGTTGAGGTCATACTATTGGACTTCAGGGAAACAGAGACACCAAACCTCCACACTAGAGCTCCTGATGCTTCTGAAGCCCCTGTGAAAAGGAAAGGCTGAGGACTGACCACATCTTGTGTAGGAAGGAGATGACTAGTCTAAATAATCAGTAAAGCTACTGCTGCTGTCTCAGAAATATCTGACAAGGGATGAATGTCAGTTTAGTTGGGATGGAGGACACTAAAACAAGGATGAAGACTGGCAGGACAGGAGCTCTTTTTGTTCTGAGAAGGGATTTTGGGGAGTTAAGATGCTCAGCATGGGTGGTAGTTCTGTTGGTGTGTGGACAATCAGTAGCTTAGTAGACAGGAGTTCAGTAAAACTGCATATGTGACTTCCAAGCAGTGAGCAATTTCAGTGTTGTTATATGAAGCTCTTAAACTCCTCTTCCCAGTGTCAATTCACTTTTTCTTATTTCTTCTGTCTGTGTTGTGAACTTGGGAAACTTTGCTGCATGGGAACACAGATACTGCATGGCAAATGGAGAATAACCACACCTTGCATTTAACTGGTTAGCAAGTGATCTTCCAGGGGTGTGAGCGCTGGAATCCCATTACCAAGCAAAGTCTGGGGCTCTGGCTTTCTGGGTGAGTGCTGGTATTCCCCCAACTCACGTAATAGCAACACGTCTTCCTGAACACAGCATTGTCCCGGTGAGTTTGAACATCCCTAAGAAGTCAAACTTGAGTTGATGTCTGAGCCTCTCCCTGCTCATGCTGGAGTTGGCACATCTTGGACTTCAGAGCTTGTACAGAGCATGTGCTTATGCACCCAGAGTAATACAACTTCAATGAACACTTCTATCAGTTTTTAAGCATCACAGTGAATCAGGCAAAACTGAGAAGCTTTCTCATCATGTGTTGATCTCAATCACCTGGGTCAATCTTTCACCCCTCACCACAGTTCCTCCAGCTCAGGACTGCCATGTCCTTTGTGCACCGGCTGTTGCTGCCCAAGCTGGGGAGTGTTTGCTGCCAGATAGGGCTTTGAACTTCGGAGTATGAATTGCTCTCTGAAGCTTATCAAGCTGTGTTAATTCCAGTTTCTTGGGCTGAACCTAGCCCCAAATATCTGTCTCTGTTTCCGGTATTGCCTGTTTATTTCTTGGCTCTCACTGGAACATCTCATGTTTCTGTCCCCCAGTTCAGCAGTGACAACAGAATTAAGAGATTCTTCCCACCCACTTGGTTTCTAAAGTTTAATACTTGCTGTGTGATTCACAATGATTCCTTGGGTTTTGGTTCGTTTGCAGGTCTCTGGATGACTTCCATGTGTTAGCTAATTGCACTTGTTCCTAATTACGGACGTGTGAGTGCATCTGAAGGTTGTAGGCTACTGTGAGAACAAATGCAGAAGTGCTGCGGGGACAGGTCAGCTGGACTGTGCTGTAACTCCCATGCCAGGGTAGACTGGACTGACTACAGAGAGATTTAGACATCTAGCTCAGAAATAGATGTCTATAGAGTATGTGGAGGACTAAAATCTCAGCTGTGGTGCTTGACTTTCATCCTCCATAATGAAGATTATATCCCTGATAAGAGTATGGTCTTACTTGAACAGTTGAGTGTTAGAAATACCTGTCTTTGGTGGAGCCAGGTAACTTTTCATTTTGATCACTTCCACTGATTAAAATTCTTTTCCTGTGAAGTGGAATGTGGAAGACAATGTGGACACTTGTCATGTTCACTGGCACAGACTTTCCTCTGTTCTCTCCACCAGCACAGACTGGCATTTGCTGTGCTGAAACATGCACCTGGGAACAGGACCAGTCAGACCTGGTCAGACAATGTAGCTGTGAAAGAGCCATGCTTTTACACGGAACCCGGTGATGGTGCAGAGGTGAAGAATGTCACTTCCTGCATTGCTGTGGGGAGTTGCTTGCTTGGCGTTGTACCAGCTTTCTAACTCCTGTCCATCGCCACCTGGCTTGGTTTGTCAAGCACTGAGCTGTGCAGACAAGGTGATGGAGAATGGCTGTACCACTGGTGGGGGTGCCAGCCGCCAGAGATGCATCTTTGTAGATGCTTCAGAAATTGCTCCTGATTGCATCCCTCCTCTCCAGCTTTGCTAGTCTGACTCCCACACTCACTTCATGCAGCCACGTAGCCCAGTTTGCCTGACTGGGGGAGAGGACCAAGAACCAGCTGGCTCATCTATATGTCCAGGTTGAACTACCTGTGGACTTGCAAAGGAAAAAATGGGGTTTGGGGGGAGAGGTGTAGTCTGCATATATTAATGCTGGGGACAAGATGTGTCCAAAAGTAAAGGTTCTAGGACATTTCCATTTATCTGTCTGTTTTTTGGGGGGTCAGGGAGTTGAAGCACTCTGTGATTCTTACCTGGTGGTCAGGAGAGGCACTCCTGATTGCTGTTGTGCAAATCCGTGACTGTTCCCCATTTGTTTGCAGCCTTCAAATCTTGCATCGAAGTTAAATAATTTCTCTGTGTTTACAAGCATCCTAAAGATATTAAGGGAGATAAATTCTGCAAGAAAAATATTTTCTTGCCGTGAAAAGTGAAACTATTTGTCTCAAAAATTTGTGACATTTTCCAGCCAAATTACATATAAACACATATAAGTGCATTGCTGTTGCATTTGGCAATACATTTTCAGTTGACCTTTCCTTTAGTTTTTCAACAAGAAAATGTTTTCCAGCAGAAGTCATGCTTGCTCTAGAAAGGTGGTTATTGGTAATATCTCTCCACTGGTCTTTCCTAGCGATGTGTCCTGTCGTGGTACCAGGGCACACCAAACCCTGGAAGGACGCTTAATGCTTTGTGGAGTTAGCACAGAGCTGGGACATACAGTGATCTGCAGCACCACTGAGTAAAAGAGATCTCTGTGTGTGATGGTGAATGTGCTGTGAAGGAGACAAAACTGCAGGGGTGTGAACATGTTCTCTGCATGGAGTCGAGAAAACTTCCTGCCCAAGGTTGCTGGTGGCAGCACAAGCGTTTCTTCTTTCTCCCCACAGGATTAGTCTGCTCCTTCCCTTGGTGTGTGGTGGAGATGGGATACCCCTGACCAGCAGCTTTCTGAATATCCTTCCCCTGGTCACCTTCCCTCTTCCACGACTGCCCTCTTCCAGACCTCACCGCCTTTTCTGCTTCCTTTCAGCTTGACTGGCAAAGAAGCTCTGACCCACTTCCCATCCCTGGGACCCTCGACAAGCTCTGCCCAGGGGAAGGTCCACGTGAAGCAGTGCGACTTGCTGAAGCTGTCCCGCAAGCAGAAGAGGCTGTGCCGGAGGGAGCCTGGCCTGGCAGAGACCCTGCGGGATGCCATCCGGCTTGGGATCATGGAGTGCCAGTACCAGTTCCGCAGCGAGCGCTGGAACTGCAGCCTGGAGGGAAGGACCAGCCTGCTGAAGCGAGGTACAAGGTAGTCTTTTGCTTGCAGTATAAAATCTCACTTGGTGCTGTAGCCCCTGGAATATTCATCTCAAAGTGGGGCAGGAACCAGGTAGTGCGGAGATCATGTTTTGCCTAGGAGTGGGAGCTGTGGAATTTAGGGCCTTTTGCCACAAAATATGCCTTATTCTCATCTTTCCTGCGCTGCTTGTCAGGGATTGAAGAGTAGAAGGAAGTTCACACCCTTGGCTTGTGGATTTTTGTCTGAAACCAAAGTTTCCGAGACTGACCATCTTCCTTGGCTGGCAATCAGGGATAGTACTGTGAAAAATAAGGGTTAGTGCTTTATGTCAAGGGACATTTTAAGAAAATACTCTTGTTAGCTTTTGGGATGTTTTTGTATATGAATCTCTGTTGTTCTCAAACACAGAATTTAATCCTAATTTGCTGTTTGAAAAACTTTATCAACATTAAAGTATTTCAGTACATGTTGACAAATGTCTCCTAAGACTCTTTCACATATATTTGGAGTTTCTGCAGAAGTTCAGAAGGAGCGTACAGAAGAGCCACTGGTTTCTGTTTCACAAAATACTTGAGGGGAAGAAAATGTCTTGTAAATTCTGTATCTGAGGTAGGAAGGAGCATAATAAATCCTTCAAATTATAAGAACTTGAGAAAAATAGAATGAAGACAGACCTTATTTCTTAATGAAAGCTCCCAGAGCATGCACATAGACTTTACTAAACCTGTCCTTATCCAAACAGTGCCTGACCAGCTCTTACTGAGTTTCAGCACTTCAGTAATGTTTGGTAGCATTTACTAAGTTTCAGTCTTCAGTAAAACTGAATTTCAGTCCTTTGATAAGGTTTAGTAACTTAATGTTTTTCAAGGGCCCTGAATAAGCCAATATTCACTTTGGTGAAATTAAAATGTTAGTTTTAATTAACATTAGAATTGAAACTTTTAAACATTTCCATTTAAAATTATCAAATTTTATTAAATATTAAGTTAATATTCTTGTAAACCAGCACATGCAAGATTAGATTTGCTTCACTGCAACGCTTTTCTTGGGAATTTTTTAGCACACTGTAGAAGAATCACTCCATGATCATTTTGAGTGACTTTCTGACATCTGTACCTTCATCAACCTCAAGGAACTTGAAAATGACAATTGAATAATCCTCATCTTCACATAGCTGGAAAACATTTAATTATCTTGTGGTGGCATGCCTCAACATTTCCATGGACTCCTGACTGACAAAATAAAATATCACCTGTAATTTAAAACCTGTTTTGGCAGATGAGGATAAGTGTTTGAAAACTTTTATTACACAGTCTTAAGGATCAAATGATGATTTAATACAGAAAAGTATGCTATGTACATCTCCTGTATGAGAGTGCAGTTGGCGAGAAGCAATTATTAGTTTTCATCTTCCTTTAACTTGCCAATAGGGGAGTTTCTTTCACGAAGAACATGAGCACTTTCAGCTGACACTTCTGATATATTTCTCCCCTACTCTTACTGCTGTTTTGTTGCTGCCTTGGAAATTCTTGGTCAGGCAGTGGACTATGCTCCTTTCACCCAAGTAGTGATGAAGAGTTTTAGAAGTGATTAAATCATTTGATAACACCCACAGCGTTTGTAACAGTATGGCTTTATGAGTGAAAGGGGTAAAAAGATCATGTCCCGGTGAGATGGTTCATTTTTGTAACAGGTGAAAAGCCACACTTAATTTGTAGTCACAGCTGAAAAACTGCTACAACTGATTCAGATCACGGAAGCTTTCCCTGCTTTTTTAGTAACTAAGAAACAAATGCCAAGGGCTGATTTATTTTCACAGTCCACACTATCTGTTGTTTTGCACTGACACTCTGGATTCAACTGGGAAACAACTTTGCATAACCTACAGCTCGTCAATGACTGTTGCAGTCACTTGTGATGGGTATTACTCTTCAGTGATCCATGAAGATAGATTTAAAATGATTCTGTGGAGAGCCATTTCAAGCCATCTTGTTGCACAGTGACTGCTGGTGTCTTTATAAAAAGTTTGTAAAGCATTGATGATCTTTTTGTTTCCAAGGTGTGCCATAAAGGCAGTCAGTTGTTGCTGGAGGTCAGGTGAGCAGTATTTCATCTCGGACAGCATGGTGACTGGGGGAAATCAAATACCTGCAGCAAAGCCAACTCAGATCCAGTCACAGAAAAATCCTTCTTCAGAAAGGAGCATGCTACGATCCTTCCATCCATTAACCCATTGCTCTGCTTCATGTTGGTTAGATTCTTTGACCTTGAAACAGTGGTTTCAGTGATGCCATGAGGAATCTAGGAATGGTATAGCACAGGAACAGTGGCTCAGAGACATAGAATTTCCATCACTGGAGATTTTGAGAACTCGATTGGACAAAGCTCTGAGCAACTTTATCTGGTTTTGGAGTTAGCCCTGCTTTGAGCAGGAGGTTGTACTAAAGACCTTGAAGTCCTTCCACCCTGAATGTTTCTACAATTCTATAGCTTTCTGGTCTGCTCTTTTCTGTTTGTTTGTTTGGGTTTGTTTTTTTGGTGGTGGTGGAGTTTTTTTTCTTTCTTTCCCCCCCCCCCCCCCCCCCCCCCCCCCCCCCCCCCCCCCCCGAGAGATGTCTCTTCCACTTGCTCTGAAATGCTCACACTATCTTTATTGTGTTGAAAAATTGCATTGAAAAATCTTTGACCTTAAGTATTTTTCCTTTGGCAGAATCATCACATAGCTAAACTCCTCCTATTATAGTTTTCCTTGTGGTCTAGAGCACACCACACCACAGAAGAGTGTCTTGCCATTGCAGCAAACGTCTTTCCATATTTATAAGCTGCTGAGCTAAGAAATAATTCCAGAGAGCTCAGGGGAAGACTTGGACATGTGCAAGGTCCTACCAGGGGGAGCCAGCTTGCTTCAACATCTTGAAATTCAACTATGTGCTGAATGTTTACAACCAAACTGCCCAGCAAAGACATCTGCATTTAGATGTTCCCCCTTGCACCGTGTTTATTTCATTTAGTCACTAGCAACGCAGTCAAAGGGGTCAGGAGAGTGACTCATCCCCAGACCAGACCCTGAGAGCCTGGGCATCGGCTCCAGGCTCCGCTGGCTGTGGTGACAAGAGCTCCATTGACATGGTTGGAGGGTAGATGCCCAGGACACATGGAGAAACCTCTACTTAGATCTTCTCAAATTATGCTTGTTGGAGCTGATTTCTGCTCATTTGTGCTGCGTCCTACTGAAAATCCAGCTCCAACAGTCGCTCTGGTGCTCACTGTTATTCCACACGGGCTTAAGGACCATTCAGTTTTTCCTTTACTCATGTGATTTGTGAATTAAACAATTAAATTGTGGTCAGTCCTTATGACAAAGTAGACGGAATCATCTTAGACTTTTCCAACAAGCATTTGGCAGCCTGGTGACATTGAGCCTTTGCCATAAAAGGAGGTGGGAGGGGGGAAAAAGAAGGAGACACTTTGAAAGTATGCTCGTTATCTTCAGTTACTGCTGTCTGCAGTGGCCTGACCACAAGCAATGGCCTCTGATTTCAAGTGGGTTGAAATCTGGCCAGCACTTACGTGGAGTGCCACAGAAGAAACCAAGCCATCACTGGTCAGAAATAGCAGAAGCCGTGTGGTATTCCACAAAGTCAGATTTAGCAGGGTGTGTGGAGCTGACGGGTACTTCTAGCTTTATATGGTATGGGAAAGTGTTTCTAAAATGCTTTCCTCTCTTCTGGTATCAGGATGTCAGCTAGGATATTGGGAATCTGGTAAGCATTTGGAGATTAGCTTTTCTAAAACTTTTTGATGGATTTGGTGACATTTTCTCATTATTCTTCCAGTATGCTGAGAGATTTTATAGAGCATCATCAACCAGAGAACTTAGTTGCAAATTACTTGTCCCACCAACTACAATAGTGAGTTAGAAGTAGTTTGTTGGTTGATCTCCTTGATCTCTTCCACATTTTCTAGATTCTCTCATTCACATCCATACTGTCGCTGGATCTTTCATCTAAAATTCTGGAATTCCAAAGAGGTCTTAGGAAGCCTGTATTGAAGTTGCTAATGCAGCCTCTCCATTATGTCCATGATTAGTCATTTTTTCATTCTTCTTTCTGATAGCTATCAGAAGAAATCTTTGTCCCTTTCTCTGGTATGATTTATGGTGACCTCACTCGGATCTCAGCAGTCAGTGGTCTGATTTATTACAGCTGGGTGGGAATTCTTTGAGGGAAAAGAATGATGGAAAGATTTGAGGTTGGACTGGATGAATTCTAGAGGTGCCTTCCAACCTATACTCAAAGCAGGGCTAGATGCAAGACTAGATCAGGTCTCTGGTTCTCTCTCTCTCTTCCAGTTTTGGAGGAAACAGATTTGTTTCCTTCTCATGTGGAAGGAAATTTGGAATTTTTCAATGTGGAATATTTTTGCTTCAATGTGTTTTCTTCCAGGCAATGTACAAGTGCTCTATTTTTCATAAACCAACATTTTTTTGTTTTGGCCAATCTTATCTATTCCTGCTCACCAAGCTATTGATCAGTCACCTGTCTTTCTCTTCCCAGCAGTGCTTCATAAACTGTGGACTTGTTAAGCAATTTTCCATTAATAGTTTTGTTTTCTGCAAATAATCTTTAGAGGCGATACTAAGATTTTCCCCTGGATTAAACATGAGAGGAGGTAAGTAGTCAAAATAAAATATTTTGGTGTTTAGGTCAGGTTTGTGTCAATCAGGATATTCTGGAACTTCTGTGGAGCCCATCAGTGTCACATCAACATACCCATTCCTATCTGATCTCATGTCTTCAGACTGAATTTTTATGCAGGCACGGTACTTTTTTTCCTGGTTAAAAGGTCATGGTGTGTCATGGTCACATACCCCAGAGCAGACATCACCAAGCTGGGAAGCCTGCTTTAGGAAGGAAAATAGCTTCAGGAAGTATCACCGCAGTCACTGGGAGTAGCCAATTTACAAGGAAGTCAGAAAACCCACCCATGTGTGGGAGAGTTGGCCTTCTTGCCCATTATGTCCTTCAACATGGAACCTTTCCCAGTCAAACTACATGTGATCTTTCCATATGAAACACTACTACTGTGCCAACACAGTCCTAGTTAAAAACATTTTTAAATAACAGGTCAGATTTTAAAAATATTTTTTAAGCCACAACATGATTTCGATGATGGTCTCTGTTCACACCTATCAGCTCTGTGGTGAGGATGAGGACAAATGGAATTTCATGACTGTTGCTTTTTGCCGTTGATTTTCCCAGGACTGTTTGGCTGTTGCCACCCATCTGTTGATTCACGACTGGTCGCCTGTCTCCATATTGAATCAGTCGCGGTCACTAGGAGAGACCAGGGTGTTGAAACCAGTTACTTGATCATGAACCAGTTACTTGAAACATGATATTGAGTTTCTCTGCTAGGAATGGTGTGCAGGTAATGGAAGAGTTTTGTCTCTGTATTTCTAAGTATCGCTCTTGGTTTTAGTTCATGGACAGTCAAGAGAGCCAGTGAGGTGGATGAATACCTGATTTTGCCTTTCCTGCTCCTACCCTTTCCTAATCTTTCTCCTGTGCAGGTTTTAAGGAAACTGCCTTCCTCTATGCAGTGTCCTCTGCAGCGCTCACCCACTCCCTGGCCAGAGCGTGTAGTGCTGGGCGCATGGAGCGCTGCACCTGCGATGACTCCCCAGACCTGGAGAACCGCAAGGCCTGGCAATGGGGCGTTTGTGGAGACAACCTCAAATACAGCACCAAGTTCCTGAAAAAATTCTTGGGTCAGAAGAGGATTGGCAAAGACCTGCGGGCCAAGGTGGACATCCACAACACCAATGTTGGCATCAAGGTGAGGAGCTGCACTAGCAGGCCTAGAATGAAGTTAGGACTCAGTGCAATTCTAACCCATCCTCAGCTGAGGCTGTTTGTGAGAGGGGTATTCACTGCTCCTACTCACAAACCAGACCTGTTTACCTGTGTGTCGTGGACCTTACAGTACTGAGAGATCCCTGGAATGTCTCCTGAGCTCTGGTGTGAGGAGCTGCCTGTTGAGTGGCAGAGTAGCATCCTGTATTTTCCTCTAGTGTTAACATGGGCTGAGTGACAGCAATATGCAGCACAGTAACGCTGTGAAATGCAATGGCTGAATTACTCTGTGGGTTATGCCACAGCCACAGGGAGCTTTGAGAACAGCTAGAGCATCAGAGCTGGTGGGACGTGTGAAGTAGATTAAAGGTTGACACTCTCGAGGTCAGTTATGAGTCTGCTGATGATTTGCTATGGAACTAGTCAGGTCACAAGTTTGGGTCAGGGAGACCATTAGATCAAACATTTTGACCTGTATGTTACAGGATACTGATTTATAATCATTTTTCTATTTACTGAGTCCAACTACTTGTTCAGTTAGAGCACTGTCTTCATTTGAATATGCCAAAGGGAATCCACCACACTGGGCATTGTCAGTTTTATGGTTGACTACCTCTGCTATTCCAAATAGGCTTAGTAAGAATTTCTTTAGTATTCAGGCATTTGTCCTCATTCAGTCTTTCTACCCTCTGGCTCACTAGTCAACTTTGTAGCCATTCCTCTGTTTTTTTTCTGGTTTTTAGTTTTTCCTCTTTAAAATAGGAGTAATACCAATAAAAGTGAAGTACTTCCAGGCTGTCTGCAATCTGAGATGTTGCCTCTACCCAGAACTAGGCTCATGGTCCTGGCAGATAATGAGTCCCACTTCTCTTCCTCATCAGGCTGTGAAAAATGGTCTCAAAACCACATGCAAGTGCCATGGTGTCTCCGGCTCATGTGCTGTCCGGACATGCTGGAAGCAGCTTTCACCTTTCCATGAGATTGGGCGACTGCTGAAGCTGCGCTACGATGATGCCGTCAAGGTCTTCAGTACCACCAATGACGCTGTGGGACACTCGGAGCTGGCTGGCCCACAGAGACACGGCCATTCTCCCAAGCACCCCGCTTCGCCCCGCTCTACTGACCTTGTGTATGTGGAAGACTCCCCCAGTTTCTGTCGTCCCAGCAAATACTCCCTGGGAACTGCTGGGAGGACCTGCTCTCGGGAAGGCAACTGTGACAGCATGTGCTGTGGACGAGGCTATAACACCCAGAGCCGTCTGGTTACCTTCTCCTGCCACTGTCAGGTGCAGTGGTGCTGCTATGTTGAGTGCCAACAGTGCATGCAAGAAGAGGTGGTCTACAGCTGCAAGCAGTAAAGACAGTGTTAGAGGGTCAAGACAAGTTATAGAGTACAAGGAAGCAATAGGGAGAGAGAGACACGATTCTCTGCTGTGGGGTGAGGGCAAAGGCAAGCACCAAAAATGTCCAGTGCTCCTGTTATCTCAATGTTGAGATCCTCTGATCTGAGGAGAGCCTCTGTATGAGGGTTTTGTCAGGTATCGGATCAGGAAGGAGGGGCAGGGAGCCGGGGTAATGTGGGGACAGCAGAGACACTGAAGCAGTCAAAAATATCTCTCGTGAGCTGAAACTTGTACTCTCGTCTGCAGGAATATCTCCCTCCTCCATTCCACACTTGCATTTATGCAAATGTGTTGGGGTGGTGACACTGAAACACTGGGGGTTTGTGCCCTGCTTCCTGGAGAGAAGAGAATTAAGGGACTGGGGAGGCAACTAATGAGAGACTGGATCCTGATGTAGCAGGGACAGCTGTGTTCCTGCACCAAGGCAAAATGACTCTGCCAGTGGGGGATTTTCAGTGCTGTTCTCTGGGACCCGGTTGAAATCCTTCTGCTTTGAACTCAGAGACACATTGTTGAGTAGTTTCATTGTGATGCAAGAACTGTGCCTCAGAAATACCAGTTTACAAAGAAATGGAGCTCATGTCCATCATCCCCCAGGTCTATAGTTCAGATGTTAGGATCCAAGTGGATTTTAGCCATGTTTTAACCTTGCTGTATGCAGGAGATCTGGAATTGCCTCTGTTACAGTGAATGAATCCCAGGAACTCAGCTGAGGTCTGTGAAGTTACCCCTCTACAGCATGGTGTCTTGCAGGGGGTTATTTTACGGTGGTGGATCCAGGGTGATGGCACCAATAATGCATCTCTCTTCCCCTGTCCCAATCAAATTATCAATTATCTTTTTGTTTTATGTGTACCACTCTGCCCTGGTGCTGCGGTGCATCACATCCCATAGTTCTGCCCTGTGCTAATGACAGGTGAAACTTCTGAAACAGAATTAGGAACCGCAGGAACTGGGGAATCTTAAAAATTTGCAAGTTATGAGTGACAATCTCTGCACTGAGAAGTTAGATGTATCTAGACAATGCAGGCATCTGGCTGAGAGAAGGTGACCTGGGGGAAAGAGCACAGTCCATTACAGAGTTGTGATCCCCTGATTTTGAGTCATGTTTGCCTAGTTAGCTTTAAGTTGAACACAACAGAAACAGTCTGTTCTGTTTCTCTGGCTGTGTTTTAGGAGCAGTTCTGGGAATGGCAGTGAGGCATCCCCTGACCTGGCCACCGGCTACACATAGATGTGTGTAGCACAACCTGTCTGGGTCTTGAGGTGTGTTACAGTGCTTGGCAGTGTGTTTGCCCACTCCAGGGCTTTTTCTGGTTAATCCTGCAGCAGCAGTTAAAGCATTTATACTGTGAGCCGCTCTGGAGAGTCCCTGAGTTAACAAAGCTGCTGTATTTACTCAGTGTTGGTAATGGCTATAAACCAGCAAGCAGGATGCCTGTGTGGAGATGGGCTGGTGCTGAAAAGAATACTTAAATCCTTAAGCTCAGATCAAAATTCACTGTCAGTGTAATGGATGAAGATGCTGGTTTGGGTTGTCTAGATGGACTAATCCATAGGCTGAACTGAGCAAGCTTTCAATGGGATTGAGTTCTCCTAACAAGCAGTAAGATCTCATCGGTGTGCTCCAGCTCTTGAGTGTGGGTCTGCTAAAGTCAGGCACCTCATCTGTTCATTTACGTGTGTGTTGAACAATTACTTTGCAGTGATGAGTGTGCGCTTACACTCTCTTTGTCTTGACCTTGTTGCCCTTTTGTTTTTTACAACTATTTTAAATTTTTTCTTCATAAAAGGATGGAAGGAAACTGTCTCAGAGCAGATCTAGCCATTAACTGGCTGTTTAGAGCCCACTAAGACCTTCCCTTTGGCTAGCTACAGGTCTTTTAATGGGCTTATTCCTTTTTATCCTTTTTCTGGCTCAAGTTGACTTGAACTGAATTAAAGTGCTTATGACAGACATAATGCTACAATAGGGTTAATTTGCCTTATTTTTTTTTTTACCTCCTAAATACCCAAGAACTTAATATTGAGCAGACCATTATTTACATGTTGCTTTTAATCTTTTTGGAGTTGAAATCTTCCCACGAGTCTCAATGTTGAGCACCCAATGAAAACGCATCCCAAGAAGTTGAAACTGGTATCATAGGTGAAGTGACAAAGGAACTGCTCTACACTATTGATTCCAAGCTGTCTGCCCCACTGACCTCCTGGCTTGTCCAGCATCAGAGAGGATCACAGGAGGGTTAATTGGGGATCCCATGTCATTGCGTGTGGCATTCCCATTTAAACAGGGACTGGGAATCAGTGGAAGCAGGGAGGCGGCACAGATGGATCCCATTGTTTGGGAAGCAAGTGGAGGAGACACCGCTCTGTCCTCTTGCTTTTATCAAAGCTGCACTTCTCAGTTGTCCACTGGCCAGTAATTTCTGGGCATGCACAATCCATTCTCCACACCCAGATGTCATAATTTGAGGGCAGCTAGGATGCTCCTGGGTGCTGGAAAGTGTTCTTGATGGTCTTGTTTCTTTTAATTTCTTCTTTGGCCTAATGTTAATGAAGTGAACTAAGGTGGTTCCAGCAGACACAACACTGCATGTTGGGATTCACGCATTGTGCAGATCAGGCAACACGACCTGCACAGGGTCACTGCAGGCAAGAACTCAGGATATAACTGGTTTTCAGTGGCTTAGTAAGTTCTGTCTCCAGCCTTGCCATAAAGTTGTTTGAAGAAGAAAAAACACTTCTGTAAACTCCTAGTAATGTTAGCTGGGTCAGTGTCACCTGCTGACAGCTGGATCCCAGTGAGGGGCCATGAATCTGCTCTCTTGTTTCTTAAAAGAGCAGGCTGTTCATGTCACTTCGAGTGTTAGGTCTTCTCTAAAGGGCTTTGTGTTCTCTGACTCCAAGTGGCCCTGCTGATCCGCATTGTGTTTGGCTCTTGCAATACAAACTCTCAGCTGCACACTGGGAGCAGGTCTATGAAGCTCTGATGTGCTCCTGCCCTCCAAATCCAACTTGGACCTGTTGGAGGGGATCTACCATCCATCTCACACATAACTGAAAATCTGTTTTCTCCCATTCCCAGTAACTCCAGTAACAGTGTAGATGTTGGACCTTGGATGAGGTGGCTGTTGGGCTACAGGCTAAACAGGAGCCTCCTTGGACCTGGCTGGTCTTTGTAGGGCCCTTGGGGTACCCTCCAGGTACCTGCAGAGTGCACTCATTACAAAGTGAAACTTCTTTTTGCCTTGCTCAGACTCACTCTTCTGTACTATTCCTGTAAAACAAGAGAGGAGAAAACCACATAAGAACAGACATGTTGGTAAGTCTTTTAGTCTTCTCCAATGATCTGGTCCTGCTCTGCTGGGAGTGTGAAGGGAAATATGTGTTACTAATACTTTCCATTTTCCTGTGAAGAGCATTCCAAATCTGTAGGCTAGTTCTCCCATCTGAAATGCAAGTCTGGCTTCCACATAGCAAAAAGTGTTATTTTAATACTACCCTTTATCTGGCTCCAAATCTTGCAATGCTTTCAGCAGTAGGTGAATGCATTTCAGAGGCACGTTAGGTGTTTTGTAAAACAGACTCATAAACAAGACCAGAAGGAAGGTAAGATGATTATTTAGGCAGAGGACTGTGGTCAGACTAGTAGAACTTGCAACCTCAGTTATTTGGGTCCTTTGCAGATGAAACACTGATGTCAGTGGCAACCAAAGGTCAGGTTTGTGGCAAGGGGACTAGGCATCTTTAGGCAACTTGATCAAGCCCTTTCAGCGCAGATATTTTGGACTGACTTTGTTCTCTGTCACTCTTTCAGGCAAAGAAGACATATTTAAAGCAGGATTAGGTGCTGTTTATTAGCACTTGAAAAAGATCTTGAGTTTTGTGTGTGTAGCCCATGTTGTATGGACATTTCTGTTCCTGAGGTGGTGTCACCAAGTCCCCTGCCACTGAAAACACTGGCATCTGTGAAATGTGCAGGGATTACCACTAGCAACGGAGGTTTTTAGCTGTGATCTGTGCTACCATTTGAATTCTGATCTGAAACTCAGTGTCTATTCTGTACAACGCCATTGTCCAGTCTTGTTGCCATCAACCATGAGGTGGAGCTGCCTTTTGTCTTAGGTGTCAGTTAGCGCAGTCCCATGGGGATCTCACAGGAACTTTATTGAAGTCAAAGATTAACAGAAACAAAGTAAATTGAAAGGTGAGGTTGTGCCTGGAAATCCTGGCACCACACAGAAACTGTTGAATAAGAACTGTACAAAAAGATATTTCAGCGCAAAATTAAGAACTGTTTTTTCATGTACCAAAGGGGACTTTTGCACCTGAAGCTCCTTGCCCTGCATGGCTCAGAGCTGCTTAAGAAACGGAGAATATGGAGAAGATCTGATGAATAGATGGTTCATTCTCTGGTATCCTTGGGGTGAGTTTGGGCTCAGTGGAATATGGAGGTTTGGCATTTGGCTGCAGTGAATTCTGCTGTTAGCTGGTAAGCCGAGTCTGGACAAGGAAGTCCTCTGGCTTTGCTCTACAAGGTTAACTCAAAGCCTATTTCAACCCCTCTCTGCCACAGCTGAAAAGCCTCTGTTCAACCCCTGCCAGCCAGAACAGACAGCCTCTCCGTCTGGAGACCAAACAATGAAAGCTGATGGGAAATAAAGTGCCCCATATGAGGTCTGGGGAGAAGACTTGGGCATATTTTGAATTTGAGACAACACTGATATCAGTATTTTTGGTATCCTTCAATACTAAACCTTTTGGAGTTGTTTGGTGGTTGGTTTTTTTTTTTTGGTTGTTTTTTTTTATTTATTTTTTTTATTTCAGTTGTCCAGGGTTGTTTTATCACTCAAACTTGAGGTACACTGAGTTGATATTCAGAAATGTGATTTGCTTCGACTAACAGCAGTGGGAGTCTTTGTGTGACCAAGAAGCAAACCTTGAGTCTCTTTGGC